CGATAATATTGTAAGTTCTGATGCTCTTGCATTATGAAATCGCGTGGCATTAAAGAGCGATTTTAATGAGATGTTAACGCCTTAGGGACGTTGCGAGGTTTTATATCATCACGGACATCATGCATTCTTGCCTCGATCATAATATGCTTTCACTTCATCGTTCAATTACTATATTAGAATGTGGAAAATTCTAGATGATTTTGAGAATTCTCTTCTGCGACACCTTTTTGTCAAACCAGGTGTGAATCGGCCACTAGGAGGAAAAACTATTAAACCTAACGAAAGACAATGTATTCATATAATTTATTCAATACCTATATATAAAATCTAGTTTAGAATCAAAAGCTATCAACAAATAATAGTTTTCGTAAAAGTGTTCACGAATGCCATCGGTGCCATTTCGTAAAATCACAAATTGGTTTTTGTTTCATCATATGTTGTATCGTTTTGAGGTGAAAAGGCAGTTGGTTGAAATATGTTATTCGTGAGAAGTCGGGGTTGGTGCTACTTTGCCAATTTACACCGAAAACGCTGCCTTTGAAATACAACAAACAATTCACTATGAATTGTTCTTATTTCATAAGTCTACAAAAAAGTTCACGATTGGCATATTATCTATCTTTTGAAGATACCTCACTATAACCATTCGAAAATTCAAAATGATGATCGCATATAGTGAGATCATACGTCGATTGTGTCGAATATTTCATGCACATTAGTATTGTTCTTCACATCATACAATTTGAATCAATATCTCAGGTGTTATCGCAAAATCGAAAATATTGCGCCAAAAAATGAACTCAACTGGCCTGGCGACACCCGTGATGTTGCCATTTCATTAGTTATGTTTCAAGTTGCGACTCATTTTGAAGGTTATGGTCGCATTTTTCAGTCTTTTCTTCTAACCTATTTTGAAATTAATATCGATACATGTGATCATACTTTTCTTTAATAAATATTATCAAAAGTCATTATTAGTGCGGTACGCGGACATCTTCTTTTTCAGTGTGGGATAGAGGGCCGTGTTAGGAATCACACGTTAAAAGGTAAGACCTCGTCAATCCTTAGCTCGCACAAGTTTCGACTTCTGAGGGCTGTCGTTCGTAGGGGTGCGACAGCTGGTTAACGGAAAAACAGATTTTTTGAACAGATTATCATATGGCTACCACACCACGATGTTCCCGAATATTCCAGACTTCGGTGCTCCAGGCCCAGATGGGCTGAACACTAGGTTAGGTTAGGTCAGAGTCAGATTTCCAGGAAATTGGTTTGCTTTCAAAAGGTTTAACGTTTGTTTACTAGGGGTCGTCAATGTTCCATTGGGTCGTTTACGCGACCCAATTTCAGCATTCGGCTCTCTAGTAAGAATCTTGTGAATTATTTTGCTGCGAAGTAAATCAGAGATACTCTCACAGAACTTCCTCCAAGATTCCCGTTTTGCCTTTCTGATTTCCTTGTTGTATAACGTTAGAGTAGTTTTATAAAGCTCCCAGTTACCTGACTCTTCAGCTCGATTGAATAAACGTCGAACTTCTTTTTTCTCTCATTTTCTAGGCTTGTGTTCCACCAAGAAGAGTTGTGGTTATCTTTTTTAACTCTCAGTGGACAGTTCTCATGATAGGATGAGATCACTGATTCGCGAAATTGCGTCGCTACTGTATCCGTATCATTACAACTTTGAATAGTAATGAATCCATCCTCAAAATACAATTGAAGGGAGTTTTTATACCCACTCCATAGTCAGTAGATTTTGGGTCACGATATTCCACTACTGGTCTTAGACCTGTTTCAATATCGAAAAGAATAAATCTATGGTTTGAACAAGAAGGTTCAGTAGATACAGACCAATGGTGTATCTTGTTGCTAAGAGAATGTGAGCTGATGGTTAAGTCTAATACCTCTTGCCTATTACTAGTGACAGAAGTTGATTCCGAGCCCTTATTAATTACGGACAGCCCTTCTCCTAGTATATAATCAAAGAGTAACTCATCTCTATGGTTTATATTCGTGGTGCCTCACGCTCTATGGTGTGAATTGACGTCATCTAACAGCTAGAGGAGGTACAGTATCTGAATTCCCCGGAAAGTAGACGGAGCAGGGGATAATATTCATCTTACCCTTCTTGCCCGATAGGGAAATTTGGATGGCTACCATGTCTTGAGTGCAGAAGCCTGTAAGCAAAAAATAGTTAATACTTTTCCTGATGACCAAGCAAGCTCTAGATTTCACCCCAGGGCACGCTATCACCTTACCAGGAATATTGCTCAGTCCGTTTACTCGTCCTGTATTTCCTGTAGGAAGACAACGTCGATTAATTCATCTTTTGAGTTTTTACCAAGGACGTATGAGGTGGCCTCGGTATCTTGTAAGCTTGCCTGCAAACACTTGAAGTTAACAAGTGTTGCCGCAAACTTAGAACTCCTCGGACCTATGAGGAAGGAGATAGGGGGTCCTTGAGGACACCTCCACCGTTGTCCCCCGGGATCGAGGGATGTGAAGGCTCAGATGATGAGGTGAGGTTTTTTTTCGACGAGACGTTAACCGTCTTCGTCTCCTGGGAATCACCAGTTTTCCCGACCGATGGTTTACCCCTATGCTCGGATGGAGGTTTGGTTGAACTCCTCTCCATAGGTGGATTTTCACTCGGCCCCGCTTCATTCACTCTAACAGGTATTTTTGAGTGACTCGTTTGAGTAGTTTCCTGCTTGGAGGGTGCCCGAGTTTTAGGGCGAAATAAAATCTGCCCAAAACCAAAGTAAGGTTTGAAACCCGTCCTTGCCAGCACGGCCATGGGTCCATCGTCTACAACGAAGGTCCATGTTTGACCAGGGCCTGACTTTTTCTTGTAGAGGATCGTCCACTCCAAGGTTGACAGACCATGGTTCATATTCCTCAGTCTAGTGAGGACCTGTTCGTAGGTCACTCTGTGACTGCCTCCGTCAGGTAGGTAAGCAACACAGATGTGTAGCTTTGGAAGTTGGTCCCCTGTGACGCATTTCAGGGAAGCGCCCTCCTACGGTTTCAGGGCATAAACTACACCCGCAAGCCAGGTACGCCTGACGATACCTTGGATTCAACCGTGCAGGGCTTTTTCGCCTCTGGTTTCGGTGAATCATAATTTGAGCGCAAACGTTTGCTAACCTGCTCATGAGGGGTTTGTTCCCCCACCTGAGACAGAGTCTGCGTACGTCGCTCAAGAATTTGGTGCAAGAAGATTTCATAAGGTACTCCGCTCTTGAGGAGATGACTCAGTTGTTTTCTGGCTGCACTACTGAACCTTTTTCCAGGTTCAGTTTTTGAATCAGGATTTGGAGAGTTGAGAAGCTCGCGTTCCTGATCTGAACTTACAGTGAGGTCAGTTGGAGTCGTATTGTCTACATCCATCTCCTCTGTAGACTCAGCGTCAGAGAGAAAATTTGAATTCACTCTGTCCATAAAAGTCCCACGAGCAGCTAGGAAAAGAAGGTAATTCACGGCAGAGCCCCGCATTACCGTGACAAGGCGATGCTACGACGAGAGGGCGCCCGGTATCTCGAAGGTTACGCTAGAGACAGCTGATAGGCTTAGTGTCATTCATCCTCTCGGCACGTATACACACACCTAAGGGTTAAGCCATCCTTGGGATGCCATTCAGTAAGGGAATAACAGAACCACACGTGATTATGTCATTCCCGTATCCAGCGGGACTACGGGGCTGCAAACAGCATGCACAGTGGTTCAGGCAGTAAAAGATGAACAAGGACAGCCAATCCGCCAGGGGGGGGCTGAATACCAATGGAAAACACTACCCAGTACCCACCTCCATGTGTCCAGAGTTTTCAACCAATTGTTGGATGGAGAGCAGTCGATACCGGATTGGTTTTGTCAAAGTGGCGGACCGTTCTCATCCCATGAACAAAGATTTGTCTATTCCTAAGAATAACAGATCATGTAAAGATATATTACGTAGGTCTGAGTGACTGAAAAACGAACCTAACTGATATATTCAGAAATCTATCATTATTTTTACTTTTATAGTAATGGCATGGGCGGCATGGTATTTTTTTTTGTCAAAATCAATTTTATTTTTCATAAAACTACACGAATTTTTCTTATTAGTAGTAAAGAGTAATGCCATTGGTATTTTATTTAGCTGTTCGAACTGAATTCGTATAGATTATACTTATTCTNATATTGAAGAGGGTTCAAATAGTTCTTCATTTTAAAGACAGTGCAGGGTTTATTTCAAAAATGCCCAATTCTGAATTGTTTTCTATCAAAATAATGTTTCTCTGGTGATATACTTTCTGGAGGAGAAGTTATTGATACAAAAGTTTTCTGACATTCATCTGACTCTGCATGTTTCATGGTTATGTAATGCAATGAGTTAATATCAAGACATACCAATATCACGATACACATGTCACTGGTCTGTATTGATCTTTGACATGAAAAGCATTCATGTTCTGTCTTGGGCATTATTTCAGTTCAACTTCATCCAGGGTGGCCATTTTATTCATGACGAATTTAACGATGGGAGAAATTGTTCAATCACCAACCGGGAGAAGAAGAACAGGTGATATTTTATGTACTATTTCACCTTGAAGTGCCCTGAGGAAGAAAATGACAGTCAAAACCGATGATAGTTTCAGTTATTAAAACTGATCTGAAATATCCTCTTATCGTTCGTGATTCTTATCACTTGCATTTCTGAGCGAGACCATTTCCATGGCATTGGATTGAACGAAGAGGTAGCAACTGAGTGGGCTTCACTATCACTTGCTTAGTTGTCTAACTTGTTTTCATAGGGATGCCAGAAAAATGAAATTTTTAGAACACAATCAACGATATGTTATATGAGTTTCATTTCATTCTCTGCAAAATTAGAAATTCCACGAAAATTGTAATAATGTAACCCAAAATCATGGTGGAGAGAAATGAATTTTTAAAGATTATCGAAGGATATAAATACAACATATAGCTATGAAATGTAAGTTATAATGTGCATCCAAATATTAGAGACCTCAATAATGAAACTCTCATGTAAGATTAACCAATTGTTCCCAGACTGATTAATCAGCGCGGAAAGGAAATATCTGGAGAAATTCTGAAACTGATTGGGATTTTGGGATCGAAACATAAGATTCACTGAGGTTTTATCATTTTGTGGAAATATTATGAGTTATAATTTCCTGCTGTTTGAGAGCCGTATGCAAACACTGCAGCATCACAGGTTTGGGGCGTTTTCCGCATATTTTTGATGACAGTAACACTTTAAAGACATACAGTGTTGGAAGTGGCATAATGGCAAGTTGAATAAAAAGAGGACGACAATGATCTTTGTATCCTGCTTTAGCTATTATTCTTATAGACTTTTTCTGGCACCTAAACACACTTATCGAGTTACTTGAATGATCCCAAATGAGAATACCATAAGAAATAACTGAGTGAAATGATCCGTAACAAACTACATCTCAACGATTTGATCTCCACAAACTTTATTGAAAAAATATATCACAACATGTTTCGCTAAACATTAGTTTTTTCAAGTGATTAATACATCAAATTATCCTTACATTCATATTTATATACTACAGGTAACCATAATTGAGACTACCTGTAAGAAATTACCCAAACCTCTACATCTCGTAACTGCTCAATTATGATTACTTGAAGCATATTGCCTCACATCTACATCAATAATAATTTTTTCTCGGTTTTTAAGAAAAGAAGTTCAATAATGGTGATCTATTCAAATCTAGTTGGTCATTCATTAGAATGTTAGAATTTTTAAGTTTATTAATTTCCATTGCTTCCAAATGATTCAGTTTCAAACTTTTATTTTCAATGAGCAGAATTTCGAACTCTTCATTGAAGATGTGATTTTTTTCTAGAAGATGATTTGAATATGTTGAGTTTGTTTTCTTATTTACACAGCTCTCATGATGTTCCTGGATTCGATTCCTAAATGTCCTGCCAGATTGACCAATATATACCTTTGGGCACGTTCCACACTTCAATTTATATACTCCTGATTTCTCAAATTTGGATGGTTTATCCTTATTATTTTTAACTAGCTTTCCCAACGTATTACTTGTTCTGTATGCAATTTTAATATCTCGATTCCTCAAAAATGAAGCCACTTTTTCCATTGGTTGTCCAAAGTAGGTTGAAGCTCTCGAATCGCTTTTGTGTAGACTTTCTTGGCAAGTATTTTGTTTATTAATTAGGCTTCAAACCCATTGTTTACCGCAATCTGCTTGATGATATTGAGTTCTTTATCAAAATTATCTATTGAAAGAGGAACATTGACGAATCTGTCAATCATGCTATTATAAGCTGCTACTTTGTGTTGATACGAATGGGTAATGTATCGTAATATCCGTATAGGATGGTTTGTGATAAATTGAAAAATCATGTTTGTTGTTCATTCTACTAATTGTTGGGTCCAAAAAATTGATTGAAATATGAAAAGTATCTAATTGCCTCTCAGTACCTGTAAAACATACCAAAACGTCATCCACATATCTATGCCAATACAAGAAATTCTTAATCAAAGGATGTTTAAAGATCGACTTCTCTAGATTATCCATGAAAATTTCTGCAAATATGGGGCTTGATGGATTTATCCAACTAAAAACATCAAATAGAAGCCAAGCAGCGCAAGATGGCTTAAAAACAGGAAGAATGAAATGGATGAAAGAAGTGCGAAAATTGGAATATAGCAAGAGGGACAACGCAAATATATATCTTAAGGTAGTACATACGGAATTACTTCATAGGTGTCATAATATAGAATTCGATATTTTAGATGTTAGAGTAAGAGAACAAGTAAATCAAATCATTCATAAAAAGTACTGCATTCAAAAGAAAAAACTGAATTCACTAATAGAAACAAATCGTCTCTATCTATCAGAAACAATTTCACGAATCATTTTATGATAGGTTCATAAATTTATCGAAAGTTCAGTTCACAGACACTGAAAATGGGTTGATAGAAAAAGGTTTCAAATACAACATTGGACATGAAAATAGCACTAACAACTTTGAAATTTTGGGGATAGAAACTGAAATGGCATTAGGAGGGGCATTGAATAGCATTAATAACAACACCTGGCGTCACATATCATAAAGTCAGAATTTTTGAAAGAAGGTAATTTTACGAATGAATTGAAACTTGTGAAATCAATACGTAGTAAAATTAACGAAAATAGTGTTATATCAACTAGAGCAGATAAAGGCAATACTGTAGTTGCTGATGATCGAATTGACTATGACTATGATTTCTTGAATTTACGAAATTTTGAAACGCTGAAACGTGATCCAACTAATTCATTTCAAAGACAAGTGAAAGATTTTTTGAAAAATTCAAACATACTTTTTACGGAAAAGGAAAAGTTCAAATTAATATTCATGAACCTCCAAATGCCAAAATTATATTCACTCATAAAACTGCACAAACAGGGTTATCCAATTAGACCAGTGGTTTCCTTTGTCACTGCACCATCAGTGAAATTATCAGAAAGGCTAATCAATATCTTATTGTAACTTCCAATCAAAATTCAGTCTACGAAAGTCATGACTTAATTAATAAAATAGAGAACATACCTCTACCAGACAACGCAAAATTACTACCTTTTGATGTGCAGAATACTATTACTTTAGTAATAGATAATTAGATAAGAATATAGTGAACCCAATCATAAAACAAGAAATAATTGACCTTCTGTCATTATGTCTCAACCAAAATTACTTTCAATTCAACAACGATATTTATTCCTCCTCAAAAAGTTTAATTATGGGAAATCCATTAGGCCCCATACTTGCAGAAATTTTCATGGATAATCTAGAGAAGTCGATCTTTAAACATCCTTTGGTTGAGAATTTCTTGTATTGGCATAGATATGTGGATGACGTTTTGGTATGTTTTACAGGTACTAAGAGGCAATTAGATACTTTTCATAGGGATATTAACAAAATTCATGAAAACATTAAATTCACTATTGAAATAGAAACAAACAACTCAATCAATTTTTTGGACCTAACAATTAGTAGAATGAACAACAAACATGATTTTTCAATTCATCACAAACCGTCCTATACGGATATTACGATACATTACGATTCTACCCATCCGTATCAACACAAAGTAGCAAATTTATAATAGCATGATTCACAGATTAGTCAATGTTCCTCTTTCAATAGATAATTTTGATAAAGAACTCAATATCATCAAGCAAATTGCGGTAAAAAATGGGTTTAAAGCCGAATTAATAAACAAAATACTTGCCAAGAGTGATTGAAAAATTAATAAAGAGCTTGCATGCGAGTTCTCCATAGTTCAATGTCGTTGGTTGGGGAATTCTTTATAATGGATAAGGCATCAAGGGGGTGAACAATTCATTTACCTGAAAGTTATTATCTTCAACTAATGAATTTCGACTCAATACCTGTTTGTTCAAATTCAATCAGTTGTAATATCATGAAGCTTTGAAAAAGCAGCCTTAGATATTTGATGCATTTCTATAATTAGTCAGTCAACCCGTTATCATGATTAGGAATATTCCATCAGAAAGTTTCTTACGATTATAATTTTCTATAATTTGAATAATTTAAACGTTGATATCATTGTTTGTTGACTAATGATATTGAAAACTTCATTTTCGATGTCAGTGGAATCTATTTTATGACTGGATATGTAATGAATGAGTATATTACTTTACAAAATCAACTTAATGACTACCTGTAACTTCTCACAATAATTTATTTTCCATTCTCAAATAGAAAAAAAACGCTCTATCATATGGTTAGTAATCAACCTGCTATCTCTCTATCAGTAAAAATTGTTTCAGATAGTTTCACTACCTACCTTTCATCCTATACAATAATCTAAAAGGTATGAATATTACTGTGATAACTGTGTCGAAGATAGATACCTACAGACGTATTAACAAAATAAATATTTC